ATCATGCATGAAAAATTTCCATGCCATACATGTGATTATAAGAAGTGTCAAAGCAACATTAACCATTGAAGATCACATGCAAACACACACATATGGAAAATTGCTCTTTAAGGGCTTGAATGTTTAAAACATTATAATCATTCTCACCTTCCTTTAGTATACAAAAGGTTGAACTGACTGCCACTCTGAGAATATGATGATGTAATTAAATGTCAGGGGGAGTGCCTGAGCTCTGAGATTTATTAATTGCATTGTTGTTAAGGAACCTCTCACTTGTTTGGTCATTATATATTTTTATTATTATTATTATTATTATTATTATTATTACTATTGTTGATATTAATACCTTCTTTATCTTTCATACTATTCATAATTAATTTTAGTATTTAATTACATCAAATGATTTAGCATTCCATGTTGCAATCCAAAAAATGAAACAAAATGGTTGTAAAGTCAGTTGCAACCAGCAGTTGCAATCATTTTTATATGACACAAAGATGGTAGCAACCATCATCAAAAGTTGTAGCCAGTATCCTCAGAATGATTGGACTTTTATTCCAAATAAAACTTTTCAAAACTTCAAAACTGTTTTTAAAATACCAAAACTATTTTAAAACTTCAAATCTCCAAGATTTTAAAAAAAGCAAAATGACACCATAAGTGCTTTATGTGAAATTAGATCTTTTTCAAAAACAAACAAAAATGAAACTGAAAATAATGTGTGGTGGAAATTGGTCATCAAAAAGAACTTTCTACCATTGGGATCACAATACACTACTTTGCCAAAAAACCTATTACAGTCAAAAACCATTAAATTCATATAATTTCATAATCATAATAAAATCCTAATAATCAATAAAATCATAACTCTTACTTTCATTATATGACATCATATAAAAAATTTTGCTTTTTAAATTTCATATATATCCTATACTAAGTCGTAAATTCAATTTTTTCTCTTGTTATATAAAAAAATGAATTCAAGTTTCCCAAATTAAGCACAGAAATATAAATGATAGTAATATTTCGATTGACAAAAAAAGGACAAAAAGCAATTTCTTGAAAAATGTAGAATCTGTCAAAAGCTTTTAGTTAATAATAATTGGGAATTTTTCATGATTACAATAAATTTTTTTATCTTTTATAGAAAAAATTTGCTGTGCAGACTTATGAATTTAATGAGATTTGACTGTATTATCATATTATTATTTTTTATTATATTTTGTTATGCGTGAAATTCAAATTGGCCAATCAGAATTTGTATACAAACACCAAACTTTCAAATTTGATTTTATATAATTAAATTTTATCTTAAAAATAATTTTTTAACAAAATGACTAGTAATAGTTTTTCATCCTTAAAAAAGGTTAACCAATTTTTCAACAATCTTATTGAATCCAAGAATGATGCTCGGCCATTAAAACATATTCTTAAACTTGTAAATGACTTTACAGAACTATTAAATGATTCAGATTATTATGATGTAAAAATTAAAGTTGGAGAGGATGATGATGTTAAAATTTTTATGGCTCATTCCAGCATTTTAAAAGCAAGATCTTCGTATTTTAAAGCTGCCTTGTCAGAAAATTGGTTAAAAAAACTTGAAAATGGTATTATTATATTTGAGAGAAAAAATATTTCTCCAAAAATATTTGAAGTTCTTTTAACGTAAGAATTATTTAAAGTAATTTACTTATTTATCATTTTTAATTTTTTAATTATTATTTATATTATTTATTTTTTTCAAAAAGTTACATTTACAATGGAATTTTTAGCATTAGTGGCATGAATTCAGATGAAGTTCTTGAACTACTCAAGGCCTGTGATGAATTGTGCTTTAATGAATTAATTGATGATTTACAAAATTATTTAATTGTTAAAAAAAATGAATGGATCAGACAAAACTTAACTTATGTTTATAGAATTTCATCACAATATCATTTATCATTTAGTAAACTTCAAGAGAATTGTGAAGAATTAATTTGTGAAAATCCTCAATTATTTTTTTTTGATTCTGATGATGATGGTTATAAAGTTATTGAAAAATCAATGATTTTGTCAATATTAGAAAGAGATGCTTTAAAAGTAGAAAATGAAATTGATATCTGGAACTATATTATTCAATGGGGAATTAGACAAATTGAAAATTTGGAAGAAGTAGAAGAAGAGAAAAAAAGAAAAATAGCAATTGAGTTGGGTCAGTATCCATCAAAAAATAAAAAATTAAAATTAATCAAACTAGGAGAAGATATTTCAGAGTGGAACAATGATAATATAATCAAATTGAAAGCACTTTTGAGAAACATTATTCCATTAATGAGATTTAATATGATCCCTTCAAATGATTTTAATGAGAAAATCAAACCTTATGAAAAGGTTATTGACAAAGAAATATATGATGAACTACTTCAATATTACAATCATGTTGATGGATGGCAACCAAAGCTATTACTTCAAAAAGGTCCAAGAATCAAAAGATTATTAAATTTAGAAATGAAATCTTTAATTTCAAATTGGATCAATGAAATTAACTTAAATGATTTACCATATGAATTTGATTTGATTCTAAGTGGATCTCAAAATGGTTTTTCAAGATCGGTTTTTGAGGATAGATGTTACAACATTCAAAGAACAGTTGTCATCATTAAAATTAAAGAAACAGGAGAATTAATTGGTGGATATAATCCAGTTTGTTGGAACCATAGAGACAAGCCATCTGATCAAACTTATTGGATTAAAACAGACAAAAGTTTTATTTTCAAGATTGATCAAAATGAAATAAATAATTCAATTTTAAGTAAAGTCAGGCGTCGCAAAAATGCAATATTTCATGACAGTAAAATTCTAGATCATTTTGGTGATGATATTAAATTTCATGAAAAATTAATCAATTTTTATGATTTATACACATGTAACAGTATTAATAATCAACCTTATTGTCATTATAATATGTTACCTTGTTCTTATCAAAATAATTTAAATATTGGAGAAAACTATCATTTGTTAGAAGAAATTGAAGTATATAAATTAGTACCAATTAAATATTAAAATTTGATTTTCTTTGTTCATGTCAAAATAAATATATTAAAGAATCATTCAAATTAATAAACTTGTAAATGATTTAACAAAACTATTAATAAACCTCTATGTATAGACTATTTATGCATAGTAAATTTGATTATACACATACATTTTCATTTAACAAATAATATTATTATATTCAAACAAGGTGAATATATTTTATCATTTTAGCATTTAGGCAAATATATGATTAGATATTGGAAAATATTACATTCAGAACCAAACGGACTCTAGCTTTTTTATAAGAAAATATTTAATTGGTGACCATCAAGATGATAATTTACATTTGACAGAGACCATTAATCTCAAATTAATGTTAATAATCACAAATAATATAAAATGCCAACCCAACTGTTCTTAACCATCCAATTGATGTTTGCCGTCAATAACAGTAATAGTAATAATAGTAAATGGCATTCATCATAATATAATAAATATATTATGTTACATAAAATTGAAATCCATAATAAATTATTCAAGTAGTAATTGCACTAGAATGTTTTTATCAATACTACGAATACATTTTTGGATTTTGAATTTATGAATCAAGAAAGTAATTCATGAGTATAAATTGCATTTCATATTTCTATCTATGTTTTTCTTTATACCAGTAATGGAGCCACTAACGAGAGATTTGTTAGCTTCATCAGAATTGTTCAAAATTATATCCTGAGATTAAAATCTTCGGTTCGTCAATTGGCATTCTTTTTTAAATTAAAAAGTATAAAATTTAATAAATTAAAATAATTAAAATTGAAACTTTCTTGCAACGCTGGAAATCCAGTAATTTCAAGACTTCTAGCACAATCCAGCACCTTTTGACAAATGATAATATCAGTTATTTCACAATATAACTGGTAATCAAACTCGCTTTTGAAGTTAACTTGCATAATAATATAAAATGAAGCTATATCAACAGAATACAAATTCTTGACCTTTTGCGTTTTGTCAATAGAACAAATTTTTCCAATTTAACTGTAGATAATTTCAAGTAAACTTACTTAATAGTACAAGTCAATATCCCAGCAAAGTTTTACCAAGTTCAAATTTTTGGTAAAAACTACGGAATATCAAAATATTTAGCAAAGATCAATCCGTCAGTATTTGTTGGATCTCCATCACTATCTATACCCTTAATCCTTTTTCATAAACAAAATTTATTATAATTACCTTTTTTTTAAGGGACTTTTTATTTTGACATCGTGGATGCTCGGATGAGTTTTATTAATGATCTTTTACATTAGAAGTAAGTCACTTTGACATAATATCAAAAAAACCTAAACCCTCTTTATTATTTATTGCCTTAATACTCAAATCATAGGCTTTATATTCAAAGATTTAAAGTCGATCTTTATCTTGCATTATAATAATCACGTGAAACTGTCCATTGATTGTAAATATGGGAAATAATGAGGCTGAAAATTTTAGGTTCTTTCTTTAATAAATAAAAAAATGCAAATTAAAGAAACAATTTCAACTAACGAATTAAACGATTCTTTGATCAATAATGAATTCGAAATTGTTGATACACCACCAGCTCAAGAAAAAAGAAATGATGATGATCCCATAAACAATAATCAAAATCAAGATAATCCTGATGATTTTATCAATAATGAATATGATGAACGCATTAAATATCAGAAAAACAATCAGGCTTTAATCAATGTGATTAAACATGTACCTCAAAAACAAGAATCTGATGATAAAAACATTTTAGATGAAGGTAAAATAATATAATAATCTATTATATACACATATTATTACACATAAAATTAATAAAATAAAATAAATTTTAATTCCGTACTTAGCTTCAAGCCCACCAACTCAAGAAAAAAGAAATGATGATGATCCCACAAACAATAATCAAAATCAAGATAATCCTGATGATTTTACCAATGATGAATATGATGAACGTATTAAATATCAGAAAAACAATCAGGCTTTAATCGATGGAATTAAAAATGTACCACCTCAACAAGAATTTGATGATAAAAACAATTTAGATGAAGGTAAAATAATATAATAATCTATTATATACATATATATATTATTATACATAAAATTAATAAAATAAAATAATTTTTAATTCCATACTTAGTGCTTTCTTCAAGCACTGACGATACTGGATTACGATATAGAAAAGTTTCATCTTCAAATTCTGAAAATGAAAATAACATTTTACTCGATGAACAAACTCGATTTGAGAGTTTGAATACAACTACAAAACCCAGCGCTGCCAAATCTATCTTTTCAACAAGAATACATGGAACATGGATTTTTTTGTTTTGTCTTATTGGCTTTGTCCTAGCATCATTAGTATACCGATTGGTAATGTATTTTAACTATTCATGATAAGAATTTTATTTAATTAATTTTTTTTAAAAAAGTTGATTTCATATCACGCAGGATGTACTTCATGTTGACGAGAAGAAGTTTCACGTGAAGGTATGTAATATTTTATAGCAGAATTATTATTTAACTTTTTCTATCATTAATAGTTATTTCTATTAAGATGAAACCTTTTTTGGAAGAATTCACAAATTCAACTGCAACTTTAATGAATGAAATGGATGAAGTTGACTTACCACGTATGTTTTAATGTTGCATTGTATAAAATAATTAAAATATAAAATTTAACTGACATCAGTGATTTTAATTAGCATCTTCAAAAGTTATGGATGGAACAGTATTTTGTCGTCGATTCGCCAATATTGTTGAACACAGTCCAGCATTTAAGGATACAGGACATGATATTGCCATTTTATTGCGTGAATTCAGTTTAAAAATCATGGATGCAGGAACTTCACTTGAGGATATGTATAGAATGGGTGACATGTTATTCTGGACACTAGATAAAAGTATTTCTGAGATAATTTTGAAATTAAATCCGAGTTTATTTGATAAAATATTTGAAAAAGATGACCAGTCTTTTTTCAAAACAAGAATTCAAGATATGATTGATGATGTACATAAATTTCAGAAAAAGGTAACCTTGGCAAGAAAAGCAATAACTGATGCAGAAAATTTTCGTGATAAAGCTGAGAATAAAGTTAGAGCTGGTAAAAAAGAAGCCGAAAAATTTGTTAATAAACATCCTGGTATAAATGAATACAGATTTAAATTAGTTGCCGAAAATTTGGAAAGAGTCGATGAAGATATCTCAATCGATGTCGAAAATGCAAAATTTGAATTAGAAAACGCTGATAGAATGTTAATGTTATTGGAAAAGTCTGCTGAAGGATTGGATAGAATTATCAAGATATTAAAAAATTATACAAGTAAACTAATGGATGTTGATGCACAACTTGATGGAATGAGCAGAGTCTCGAAGAGAGATCTAGGCAGGCTTGAAAAATTAGTTGAGAATTTGAGAGAAAGTCATATAAACTTTAAAAGGAAAGACGAGACTATTGGTTAGGATATTTTTTCTTAAATATCAACTTTTCTCTATATTTATAAATTTATTTTCACTTTTATTTTTTGAATGTATATTATTAAAGTAATGAATGTTAATAAAATAAAATAATTCAAACTGTTAAATATCATACAATTTCAGATGTCTTAATCAATCATTCATTATCTTTTAAATTTTGTTCTTCAATGAAAGTTTTGAATTAAAACAAAGAACATTTGCCAATTTTGGGAATTTGTTACGTGTCATTAATATCACGTGAATGTTGAAGATCGGTCGTGGTATTTTTTATTCCTATCATTTTTATTTGAAAGTGATGAGTAACTTAAAATATGTATTTTGAAACCTTCATCATACAAAAAGAAACGTTTATATGTGAATGAGCTACCTGCTAGTGAGTGATGAGTACGCTTTTTGAAACCTTTATTGAAAAATATGTCGAAACTTCTATATCAAATAAAAAGTTTTAGATTGCATTATTCAATGGGAAATAAAGAATTAAAGATTATCTTATAAAAGATATTATTCTGTTAATTGGATTTGATCAAAATATCTTCAAATGGTTTTTATATAAAAATTACTTCGATCCCATTATCTTCCGTGTAAATTTAGTGGAGTTTCTAATCCACAATGTATGGCCCATTCATATAATAGATTATATTAAATAATGCAATTGTAGAATAAAGTATAATGTTTCTTTGTTGAATATTTCCCGGATGAATAAAAACAGGATCAAAAACTCTACATGCATAAAGTAATTCATGATTAGGTATATAAAGAAAATTTTAAAATTGCTGCTTCAAATTCAGCATGAAAAATTGGATAAAATCTCTAGGAACAAAATGATGACCAAGAATTATTAATTCATCTTTCTTATCTGGTGTAAATAGAGTAAATTAAAGTAATAGCTTGTATTTTATTTAATCAAATCTAATTAGTTACCAAAAGATAATAGTATATGGAGAAATCTTTTAAACATTGAAAAAAATAGTTTATTTCCAAAACCAAATAAGGTGGAAAAAATGGCTTTATTTTCTAAGACTTTAGCAAAGTTTTTATTTTATTAGTGAAAAAAAGCATTCTTTTGCATCTAGCACTAATCCAAATTACGAATCAGGTCAGTTTGGTTTTCGCATATTTTTTTATTTGTATAAAAAATGTTGTCACGGGTTTGATGTCAAAAACCACCTGAATGGTATCTTTCCATTATTACAGATTGAAACTCTTTGTCGACAGAGCCTTTGAATAAGTTGCTGATGAATTAGATGTTTTAGACAATGATCTCAAATTATAATATATTTAAAGCTCCTTGCAAGCCAGTTCACGAGTATATAGAATAAAATTTTTATTTTTTAATTATTAAACAGAGAGAGATCTTGACAAATTTCTTCACAAGACCCTCACCATCTTTTACTTTTTCTACAACAAAGGCTAGTAAATCGAGCGGTATATTGCCAAAATTAAATAATGTTGAGGTACGGGAAAATTAGTAGATGATGTAACAAATGAAAAAAACTCTACAAGATTTTATTCTGTTGGTACTAATATTGATGATATTAGTGGAAAGCGGTAGTTCATTCTGAATAACTTGAATAAAATTCCGGTTGATGTTATTCAAATTTTGTTGATGATAAGGAAGAACCATTTAGAGTTTAGTTCACCTTTATACATTCTTATCGAAGTAAAGAACAAGATACATTTTATTTTATTATTTTTTAATCGGTGAAGTTTCGCAAGTTCCAATAACAATGAATATTATTATTATTATTATCGATAGATTTACTACTTCATTTGTAGTAAGATCATTTTTCATATTTATTTATTATTATTATTTTCCCAATGTATCGTTACACACACGATATATTTGTTGATTTGATTTAACAGCCTTCTCGAATGATAATGACGTATAACTAACTAATTATCAAAAATGTTTAATGACAGTTTATTACCTCTAAAAAATGTTAACCAATTTTTTAACAATCTTATCAATTCTAACGATAATACTCTACCATTAAAATATATTCTTAAACTTGTAAATGATTTAACAAACCTATTAAATAAATCTGATTTTTATGATGTAGAAATTAAAGTTGGAGAGGATGATAATGTTAAAATTTTCAAAGCCCATTCCAACATTTTGAAAGCAAGGTCTTCGTATTTTAAAGTTGCTTTGTCTGAAAATTGGTTAAAAAAATCAGAGAATGGTATTATTTTATTTGAGAAAAATAATATTTCTCCAAATGTATTCGAAGTCCTTTTAATGTGAGAATTATCTAATTTAATTTTCATATAGTATTTATTTTATTTTTTTAGTTCAATAAAAACTAACATATCTAAAAAATCAAATTTTTCTTTCTAAAAGATATATTTATAATGGGATTGTTGATGTTGACAATCTGGATCCAGATGAAATTCTTGAACTGCTCAAGACATGTGATGAATTATGCTTTAATGAATTAATTGAGGATTTACAAAATTATCTAATCATTGAAAAAAATGAGTGGATTAAACAAAATTTAATTTATGTTTATAGATTTTCATTACAATGTCAAATATCATTTAGTATGCTTCAAAATGTTTGTGAAGAATTGATTTGTGAAAATCCTGAATTATTTTTTTTTGATTCTGATGATGATGGTTATAAAGTTATTGAAAAATCAATGATTTTTCCAATATTGGAAAGAAATGATTTAAAAGTAGAAACTGAACTTAATATCTGGTATCATATTATTCAATGGGGAATTAGACAAATTGAAAATTTAGAAGAAGGGGAGGAAAAAAGAGAAAAGGCAATTGAATTGGGTCAGTATTTGCCAAAAAATAAAAAACTAAAATTAACCAAACTGGAAGAAAAAGACATTTCAGAATGGAACAATGATAGTATAATTGAATTAAAAACACTTTTAAAAAATATTATTCCACTAATAAGATTTGATATGATCTCTTTAGATGATTTTAATGAAAAAATCATACCATATAAAAAGATTATTGACGAAGAAATATACAAGGAACTACTTCAATATTATTATTATCAATGGCAACCAAAGTTACTAATTCAAAAAGGCCCAAGGGTAGGAAAAGGATTATTAGGTTTTAAATTTAAGCATTTAATCTCAAATTGGATTGATGGAAAAAATAACATATATATTTCAAGTGATTCATCCTATGATTTTCAATTAATACTTTGTGGATCTCAAGATGGATTTTCAAGATTAGTTTTTGAGGAGAAATGTTTTAACATTAAAGAAACGATCACTATCATGAAAATTAAAGAAACTGGAGAATTAATTGGTGGATATAATCCGGTTTTTTGGAATAATAATAGCAGGTCAACTGATGAAACTTATTGGATTACAACAGACAAAAGTTTTATTTTCAAGATTGATCAAAATCAAATAAATAATTCAGTTTTGAGTAGAGTCAAAATACCTGAATATGCAATCTATCGTAGTAAAAAAAATATTAATCTTATTAAGGATAATATAAAATTTCATGAAAGATTAATAAATTTTATTGATTTAGACATACGCAATAGTATTGATAATGAACCTTATTGTCGTTATTCACATAATGAACATTATGAAAATAATTTAAATCTTAAAAATAATAATAAAAGTGTTCATTTATTAGAAGAATTTGAAGTATTTAAAATAATAAAGAATTAAGATATTATAGTGTATTTAACAAAATAATGAAAACATCAGAGAATGTTTGAGAAAAAGTGTATTTTAAATTCTTTTATGTAAGATTGATTTCTTTATTTATAATTTTTTAACAAATACCGAAATTCATTCAAATAAAGAGGAATTATAGCAAATAGGTAATAGAAAGCCTTTTAATAACCAAATAAATTGAAAAAAAAACTCTCCATAGTTTTATTATAAAAGACTTGGCAATAAAGCAATAATAATCAATTCAAATTTTTTAATAATAATAGCATTAATTATAATAAAATGGAAAATAAATCATCTCACTACAAATAATGATTTTAATGACAACGAGGCAAAGAATTTACCAAATATTAGCTAACCCAATGTTTTTGCAAACCATCCAATCACTATTCTAATATGCCATGTAAATATGCGTGCGAGTGAAAAAGTGAATATATATCTATACCTAGTATATCTTGCTCTTGTAGGTTCAAAGATCCATTCATATATTGTCAATATCGAAGCATAATTTATGGAGCACCAAAACTAATCAATCCACTAAATTTGATTGATGCTATACCTTGACATTACTTTAAAAAAGTTGTTACGTTGGAATTTAATAATGATAATGACAATAATTATCATAGTCAAAGTCAACATTAATATTCGTGGGATGGAGAACCTTTGCCTGTTAATAGTGGTGTAGGAGTAAACATATATTTATTGCATACAGAATTAAACAAATGATTTTATTATAAATTTTTTTAGCAGATTATTTTTTTTTATTTATTTTTCTGATTTATTTATTTTTTTGAAGAAATATCTAAAATTCTTGTCAACTTTGTTGTATTGAAATTCTCAAAGATTAAAGGAGATATTAATAAATACCTCCGACTGTTTTGTATTATTATCGTTATTATTATTTATCTTTTTGTAAGAAATCACTTTTTAAGAATTAACTGAAAATTTATATCTATTTTAAAATTAATTTTTAGTAATCACATTGTAATAAAAAAATATTCATAATATTATAAATAATAATAAATACCCGCATTTTTTACAATTATAAAATATAGTTTGTCCTTCATCAGCTGAACGTAATTGCATTGTATGATAATTCATTTCTTCATTATCACATTTAGGACATTTTTCTTTGATCTATAATGTATACATGATTAAAAATAATTAGTAATCTTAATCTAATTTTAATACTTGAAAATAAAGAGTGAAAGAAAAAACTTACAGAAGCACTTTCAGTTTTACGACTAACTTGTTTTATTTTTGAATGCCTTAGACGTAACTTTGAATTAAATATTTTCTCATTACTACTTGTAACTATCAAATTGTTTTCATACTCTATTTTATTTTTTTAAAAGAAAAATTAATCAATTTAATAAGTTTTGTTTTTTTTTTTAATTATAAAGCATTATAAGTTTTACCTTCTGCATCATGTCCACAGTCACAATAGTGACAAACGATTACATCCTCACCATTATTTAATAATAAACTACCACATTCTTTACAGAAAATTGAACTTCTAGTGATTGCTTTAGCTTTAACATCATTTTTATTATTATAAGGAGTTATTTTACCGTTACTAATACTATCATTACTATTATTATTATTGGAAGTCATTGCACCATTTCCCTTCTTCTCACTACTCTTACTACTCTTACTCTTATTACTTTTACTTTTACTTTTACTCTTATTCTTACTAATAATTTTATTACTAGTTTTATGAATATTGCTGGTGCTGCTATTGTTATTATCATCATCAATATTTTTATTATTGATGTTATTGTTTTTAGTTTTTGATTTAGTAGATTTGGTTTTTTCACCTTTTCTTTTCATAATTAAGATTTTTGTATAATAATAACCAATCAAATTCAAAAATTCAGTAATGATAATTAAACGCGGGTTTGTTGTGTAAACTTAAAATTTTCATTTATTTCACAACAAATTTATATTTTTTATTTTTAAAGCAATGGAGCGTAAAGTTAAAGATTTGATTAGGTTTGTTATATTTTCTGAATTAAAAAGATCACCAATAAGACGCGAAGAAATGGTGAAAAAAGGTATATATGTATGTGTATGTTTTATAACATTAAATCATTTATTCATTACTCATATATGTGTATATTTTTCTTTTATTTATTTATCATTTTAAAAGCTTTACACGAACCCTCAAGAAATTATTCAAATATATTGCTAGAAGCTCGTGGACAATTACAAGATATACTTGGTATGGATTTAGTTGAACTACCAATTAAAGAGAAAAAAGCAGTAAGAGGTGGTGCTAATTCTAAGGGTAGATATAATTAATAAATACACAAACTGGTTGAAAATAAATAAATGATAGAATTTTAAATATCTAAAATTTGATGGTTTAGCAAATAAAGAGAAATCAACAAGTAAATCATACATGCTGGTTAATACTCTTGCAGAAAAGTATGATGAGGATTTAAGTGAAGTTATTAATTGGGATAAAAATAATCAATTGGAACATATGGGTGTTCTTTACGTTGTTCTAAGTGTGATCTATGTTAACGGTTGTGTGTTATTAGACGGTAGCTATTATTATTACCTTTACTATTATTACTTTTATTATTGATGCTTTTTTTTAAAATATCCAAAACATTTTGTTCCGTTTTCATTATCATTTATTATTATTATATAAGATCAATTAACACACTATTTTAGACGTTTGCATCTTTATGATGATGGTCACGTTGAATCTGATGACAATGTTGATATTGACGCATTATTACCAACTTTTATAAAACAAGGATATTTGGAAAAAAACAAAACAGGGATCAGAGATCAATCATCAACAGATAATCCTGATAGAGAGCATGTTGAATATCGATGGGGTCCAAGAGCAAAAATAGAATTTCCTGAAGATAAAATGATTGAATTTATTAAAAATGTAAATATTTTTTTTTAAAAAATAATAATTTGATAATAATAATTTGATAATTAATTAATAATTTGATAATTATATATACTTATGTTAATGTATTTATAATTTGTAATTGGTAGGTGTATGGTGATGATGTACCTAATGATATTGAAAAAAGAATAGAAAGAGTCGCTAAAAACTGGCCAGAATAAATAAATATATTAAACAAAACACCACATTTCTATTCTTGACTTCTATATTCTTGTAACTTTCCTTCCGATACGTTTACACCATAATATTTCATTAGTATTTTGTCCTAATCTCTCAAGCAAAGGGAATGATTATTGTCCGCAACTTCAATCTATCAATTGCGTCTTATAAAGGTCCAGGCCGTTTCATCGAGGGCCAAAAATATAAATGAGTAAGTAATACTCTTTCTGAATTTAACACACATATAAGGAATTATACACAAATATATCATTACATTTTTTCAGGATAGATCATGTTCAATCATATGTCCAACACCTCCTTCTCTCGTATTATTCAATTTATCTAAATCATGAATTCCCTTCAAAATATTTTTTTTCTGGAATACCACCATTGATATTATTATTAACGCACAACAAGGATATTTATTTTTTAGTAATGATAATGATAATGATTTGAATATATTGCGAAATTATTAAGTCCCAATCTTGAGTTAACATAGTAAACTTGCGCTTAATTTCCCTATGATAACATGTTTCGAATTTAATAAAATAGACTATTGTCTTAACCGAAGTGATGTGATTTTTTGGTCTACGCAATCTCACATAGCACGACATGTATGATTGTGTGATATGTAAAAGCTCGCATTGTATGTTTAATAATTGCGAGGCTTAGTATTAGTATTAGTCGATAAAAGAATTTTTTTTTCGAAAAATCAATAAAAATAAAAATAACAACCTCTCGTAATGGAAATTGAATAATGGGTAGGGGGTAGTGTTAGCGTTAGAGCTTTAAATAATATAAGGATTAAGAAATTTCATACAAATCTTATTATTATTTTTTATACGTATTAAGAGGCAATCTAACTTAAAAAAGGAATAAAAAAGAAATTCATACGCCATTAGTAAAAATTCATTTTTAATTACAAATTTCTAAAAAAGAAAATTAATCATTGCAATTTGCAAATAAAGGAATGCTATTATTATCTGAAACCTTAAAGTGACACTTCAGTTACATTACTGATAGAATAGTCACGTTTCTCCAGATAAAAACAAAGAACGAGATGGGCAAGAGTAGATGATTCTGATTCGAATTTTTTTCCGTTTTAAAGTTTTTTTAAAAAATAAATACGACTTTTAACTAAAAATTCTTTTCTTTATTTTTTATTATAACTCTATCACCGAATGTTAAATAAACGTAATAGTGAGAAAGTTGCTTACATTATATAAATACCAAAAAATATAAATATCATGACGATAATTGTAAAAAGTATATCAGAAATGAAGGGAAGAGTCTCCGGAGGGAAGCACTTTGATGATTTTAAAGATATTATTGCTAATCAAACATATGGTGGTGCTAACAATATAAAAAAAATCGATATTAAAGCGATAACAGACATTAGTATAAGTATATTTTTTATAGACTCTATCCGATTTGTCTATAATGTAGTGACAAAAAACGGAACATCATATGAACATCAAGGTAATAAGTTGGGCACAGGCCCAGGTACTGACCAACCACCATTTGATATTGCTACTCATGGGGAGTTAATAGAGATAAGAGGCAGAATTGGCAAATCCACAGATGGATATGTAAGAACCTTGAGATTCATAACATCACAAACAACACTTAATTGCGGTACAGATAGTCCAGATTATGAAGAATTTGTTTTTCCTCCAAATGTTGTTATCTTTGGCAATAGCGAGAATTATATTAACTCTATTGGAGTATATGAGATTATAGGAATCGAGAATGTAACAGAATCTAACTCAATAGCTCCCTCTACAACAGCAGTAATTCCTTATGCTGCAACAGAGACGATATTTGTTGATAATAATAATAATAATCTTCCGATAATTATCGGTCTCGGTGCTCCCTTAGCAGTATCATGTATACTATTACTAGTGCTAGTGACTTTGTATTATAAATATGGGAATAGAAAAAGTCCACTTAGAATAGCAGGTGGTAATAGCTAATGAAATTACAGTAAGTATATTATTAAGGAAAATATAGATAGTTGAATAAATATATCTTTATATTTACTGTATATTAAATTACTCAAGTCACACACTATCTTTAATATATGTACTTGTTCTATTAAATAACTTATTAAATCACGTCATTATAGTAAGAATAACCATTAGAGGATGGAACCGGTTAAAATAGGTTAAAATGTAGATCACTCTTAATTCGCAATCTGTGATAAATGGAAAGAATCGACATACATTTTTAGACGATATTAATATGTAAACAACTGAAACAAATCGAATAAATGGACTTTATAGCATTGCAAAAGGCCATATTTATTTTTTTACAGTTGTCTGGTACCATAACATATTCGTCCAGGTGCAAGAAAGAAGGAACCAAAGTAAATTCGTAAACTAACTAATTGACAAGCATCGAATTATTTACAATTTACTGACAAGAGTAACCTAAAAGTTAAAATGATACCTCGCAGTATCACCATTTAACAAAAATCAGGAAACTATAAAAAGTTATTATTTCAAAATATTATTATAATGGGGAGTTAATAGAGATAAGAGGCAGAATTGGCAAATCCACAGATGGATATGTAAGAACCTTGAGATTCATAACATCACAAACAACACTTAATTGCGGTACAGATAGTCCAGATTATGAAGAATTTGTTTTTCCTCCAAATGTTGTTATCTTTGGCAATAGCGAGAATTATATTAACTCTATTGGAGTATATGAGATTATAGGAATCGAGAATGTAACAGAATCTAACTCAATAGCTCCCTCTACAACAGCAGTAATTCCTTATGCTGCAACAGAGACGATATTTGTTGATAATAATAATAATAATCTTCCGATAATTATCGGTCTCGGTGCTCCCTTAGCAGTATCATGTATACTATTACTAGTGCTAGTGACTTTGTATTATAAATATGGGAATAGAAAAAGTCCACTTAGAATAGCAGGTGGTAATAGCTAATGAAATTACAGTAAGTATATTATTAAGGAAAATATAGATAGTTGAATAAATATATCTTTATATTTACTGTATATTAAATTACTCAAGTCACACACTATCTTTAATATATGTACTTGTTCTATTAAATAACTTATTAAATCACGTCATTATATTAATACATACATAACCCAGTAGTCATACAAACTTCCATTGATTTGAAGAAAGCTTTTCTATTTCTATTAATATAAACAACAACAATATTTTATTGCAAATTTATATTTTTATGATATTTTAATTCGCTTCACCATAATGGGTAACACTTTTAATTTCCCATGGAGGACAATGGTCCATAACCTTGTCACCTAAATAGTCGTGGGAAAGCTTCAGTAATTGAGTCTCTCTAAATAGTTCCTTTTTTTTTGTGTGTCTGCGTGTAGACTTGTGTGTGTGTGTGTGTGTGTGTGTGTGTGTGTGTGTGTGTGTGTGTGTGTGTGTGTGTGTGTGTGTGTGTGTGTGTGGTAGATGCTTCTCAATTATATGCAATCGCAAGTTGTAGAGTTTTTTAAAAAGTCATTTCCAAAAATAATAAAATTAGCTGACAATGGACACTATCCAATATGTTCAAAGTGTATTTTGGTTGGGTATGTGTAGTTATTATTTTGAGTTGGTGATTGAGATGATAGAGTTGAATTTGCTCAAGTGAATAGCTGTTTGTGATGTTTGTCATATGTTTAATATCATTATTATATGTGGATTATTGTAACATATGAGGTGGCGAATTTGGACATACAGGTGCAGGATAATGGTTTGTGTATATACAATACCAATCTTGATCATATTTAATAAAAAGGTTCTTCTTATAAGCATGCAATACTACAATTGCAATCCTTGTAATCACATTGAACATGTTGTGAGGCTTTGGACAAGCAAAATTCAACAATGCGATTAATAAATCCCAAACGGTGCTCTCCTCGAAAGTTAATGCACCATCATATCATTGGGGATCAATTTAAATTGGCCTTATGCGCACAGAGAAGATGAGAATAACTGTGATGCTTGAATATTTAATCCTTGAATGTCGAATGTAGCTTATAGATTTATCTTTTGGTTGTCTAATAGCTGCTTTCAATTAGAATAGCCAGGTTGCTTTTGACATTTGCAATTAATTAGTTTATTTAATTTAAAATAATAGTTTTAATGAATATTAAAAGGAAATTGGTTATTGACGAAATACTTTGCAAAGTATTGCTATTTGAAGTTTGAAATTAAACCAATATTTTATATAGTAAATCTTTTGTATTAAAAAAATCGTTACAAATGTAAAAATTAATGAATTATTATAGTTAAATCAATTAGTAAATTTAATTTCGTTTGTATATATTATGGGTCAAATTTTGTTCTTTTTTCTAATGTTATAGCAAACTTTAGGGCCAAGTTATATATTTAAACTTAATTTTGGTTTGGGTTAAATCATATAACAAACAGGAATTTTTGTTACTGATAAAATTAAATCGATGATTGTTCCTTGCTATGATATAACCAAATTCCCAGATAACGAGAATTATGCAATTGTTTCAAATTATTTATCAGATGGAAATAAGGCTTATTTACGAAAAAATCACTTCTAGTATCGCAAAACCACTTTTATCTAAAACACTCTTCAAACTAAAAGAAAAGGCGGGAGTAAAGTAACAAAAGATATCTTAACAAAAAAGATAGACTGGTTTAACAATAACTAGATTCTTTTGATTCTTTTTGTTAAATTAGTATAAATGCTTAGAAAATAGAAATGAACGAATATTGCAACTTGTCCATAAAAGTAACATTCAAAGTAGGATTGTGCATAATGATGTATGACGAAACCTTTGACTTTAGTCATTGACATAACTAAAGTATTGACTAAAGGTAGTTTCTCACCGGGGCCATTTGACGATTTGACTAAAGTAAAAGCCCTTAACATAAGTAAAACCACTTGACTTAATTGAAAACATTTGGCGTAAGTAAAACTTGATATAAGCAGCAATAATGTCAAATTATGTAAAAATGTGTGTCTCAGGGATGAATAAAGAA